CCTCACCAGGGTCAGGCGGTACGCACAGGCAACAGGCACGTTGAGCACTAGTAGACAATGCATACATGGCAGTGAGAATAGCATCATAGTCAAGCGCAAAGATATCTACCCTCTGTCTATGCAGCTCCAGCCAGGTGGGGAGCTCAGCCTCGTCGCCAAACACTGTGCGCCAGTCGTCGCTCAGACGGGCGAAGCAGCGGGACTGTGTGTGACCAAGCGTCCCACAAGGCTGACCAGTCCTAGCACCTGTGCGAATGACGTACGGGCAGCGGACTGTACGCGTAGACCTGCTACACTGAGCGTACCACTCCTGGAGCTGCCGGGGCGTAAGTGTCTCACGTGGACGTCCCTGCAGCTGCAGCTGGCCACTGCCAGACGCTCCCAACTGACCAGCTCCAGGGCGACAGCTACGACGGCTACCGCGACAACCCCAGCTAGTATACCACTCACTAAGCTGCTGGGGCGTCAGAGGCTCGCGTGAATGTCGCTGGAGCTGCATCTGGCCACCTGCCAGTAGCAGTAGCGCAGGCAAGGCAGGCGCGGCAGGCAGGCAAGCAAGCAGGCAGGCAGGCAGGCAGGCAGGCCGGCAGGCAGGCAGGCAGTCAGGCAGGCAGGCAGGCAGGCAGACAGGCAGGCAGGTAGGCAGGCAGGCAGGCAGGCAAGTAGACACGCAGGCCGGCAGGCAGGCAGGCAGGCAGGCCGGCAGGCAGGCAGGCAGCCAGGCCGGCAGGCAGGCAGGCAGACAGGCAGGCCGTCAGGCAGGCAGGCAGGCGCTCACCAAAGGCTGGGAGAGCAGGGCCGGCGCTCGAGTATGCGCACGACAGCGGCGACGTCGGGGCCGCAAAACCGGCTGCAGAGCAGGGCCGAAACAGCTGTAGAGCGGGGCTGCGCCAGCGACAGTAGCAGGGTGGGGCCGCGTCAGCGGCAGGTCGGGGCCGTGGCAGCTGCAGGGCGGGGCCGCATCAGCGGCAGGTCGGGGCCATGGCAGCTGCTGGGCGGGGCCGCATCAGCGGCAGGTCGGGGCCGAGGCAAAGGGCCGCGCGCGGCCGCGCTAGGGAGTAGCGGGCCGCGCGCGGCTCGGCGCGGGCTGTTGCGGGCCGCGCGCGGGCCGTGCGAGGCAGGAGCAGGCCTCGCGCGGCTCGGCACGAGCTGCTGCGGGCCGCGCGCGGGCTGCGCGAGGCCGTAGCAGGCCGCGCGCGGCTCGACGCGGGCTGCGCGGGCTCGGCGCGGGCTGCGCGCGGCAGCTGCGAGCTGCGCGCGGCTCGGTGCGGGCTGCGCGCGGTTGCAGCGGGCTGTGCGCGGCTCGGTGCAGGCTGCGCGCGGCTGCAGCGGGCTGCGCGCGGCTCGGTGCGGGCTGCGCGTGGCTGCAGCGGGCTGCGCGCGACTCGGTGCGGGCTGCGCGGTCTCGGTGCGGGCAGCGCGCGGTAGCAGCGTGTGTGCGGGCCCGACAGGCGTGTAGAGGCGGCGCGCGGGCCTTACGGGCCTCTAGGGGCAGCGCGCAGGCAAGGCAAGGCAAGGCAAGGCAAGGCTACGTGGGGTAGCGCGGTAACCGCAGCGGTAGGTGGGCCCGAAAAAAAAAACGGTCCTACGGACCTTAGTGCTCTGAAACCATGTTAGAATCTAGCAGCAGGAATGAGTGAACTAACAGGATGCAGGAGTACAAGTAGTAAACCCTAACTAGGTTGTACCCCATATGGGCTACCCCACTACAGCCTAGACAATATGCAGCACATATAGTTTGAATATATGTGTGTGTGTGTGTGTGTGTGTGTGTGTGTGTGTGTGTGTGTGTGTGTGTGTGTGTGTGTGTGTGTGTGTGTGTGTGTGTGTGTGTGTGTGTGTGTGTGTGTGTGTGTGTGTGTGTGTGTGTGTGTGTGTGTGTGTGTGTGTGTGTGTGTGTGTGTGTGTTGTGTGTGTGTGTGTGTGTGTGTGTGTGTGTGTGTGTGTGTGTGTGTGTGTGTGTGTGTGTGTGTGTGTGTGTGTGTGTGTGTGTGTGTGTGTGTGTGTGTGTGTGTGTGTGTGTGTGTGTGTGTGTGTGTGTGTGTGTGTGTGTGTGTGTGTGTGTGTGTGTGTGTGTGTGTGTGTGTGTGTGTGTGTGTGTGTGTGTGTGTGTGTGTGTGTGTGTGTGTGTGTGTGTGTGTGTGTGTGTGTGTGTGTGTGTGTGTGTGTGTGTGTGTGTGTGTGTGTGTGTGTGTGTGTGTGTGTGTGTGTGTGTGTGTGTGTGTGTGTGTGTGTGTGTGTGTGTGGTGTGTGTGTGTGTGTGTGTGTGTGTGTGTGTGTGTGTGTGTGTGTGTGTGTGTGTGTGTGTGTGTGTGTGTGTGTGTGTGTGTGTGTGTGTGTGTGTGTGTGTGTGTGTGTGTGTGTGTGTGTGTGTGTGTGTGTGTGTGTGTGTGTGTGTGTGTGTGTGTGTGTGTGTGTGTGTGTGTGTGTGTGTGTGTGTGTGTGTTGTGTGTGTGTGTGTGTGTGTGTGTGTGTGTGTGTGTGTGTGTGTGTGTGTGTGTGTGTGTGTGTGTGTGTGTGTGTGTGTGTGTGTGTGTGTGTGTGTGTGTGTTTGTGTAGGCTACAGTGGGTTTAGCCTTAGGGGGTACACAACTTTAGGGTTTCATATTTGTACCCTTGTTCTTGTTAGTTGCACCATTCCTCTCTCCTTCCACAGAAAATACCCTGAAATTTCAGACAAACTATTTTAGTCTGATAAAGTCAGCCTTGGTGTCAACGACCCCATCAATCTCAGTTGTAGCATTGGTGCTTATTAAGCATCCATTTTGATGTCTTCACAACTTGTTTTTTGTGACGTTGTACATTTCGTGTTTGTGAGATGTACGTGTTTCAAGGCGAAGTGTTGCAATGCATCATGTATGCAACTCGAGGTTGTCATCGTCGTTGGTGCAGCGTGTATTCGCTGTTTCAACGGCCCCATCAATCTCAATTGCTACATACATTCATGCATTCTAACATTTCTTGAAACATTCGCATCACACTTCATATTGTGTTCATTTGTACAAGTGCATTCGCTCATGTTGATGTCATGTTCGATCATACCATCCCCCGTATTAATCGACGATGCTGAGACGGTCGGAACAAAATCATGGTTTCAACATGATACGTCATCGGTTTCACTTTTAGGATATCTCGTTCATGAGTGTTTTTTTATTCACTATTTGAAGCATTCTCTTGAACATATTGCCACAAAAGCTGTTCAAGCAGGTGCTCCAAAGGGTGCTGAGAAAAACACTCTTGAAATGATATCCCCAAAAGTGAAATCGATAATATAGGGTTGCTGCGCAACCCAAAAACTCATAACAAAATACCTTCCCCTAAATTCAAGAGGAAACATCAATCTGTAGTGTCCAAGAAAATCCGGATGTACACCCTCTTTATGAACCAAGTGCACCCTCATTTGTTGACGCACGACGCTAGCAGCGGCGTGCGGCTCTCCACACAAGCCTGCACTTTCCAATGCTCACCCGCACGAGAAGTAGCACGAACACGTACACACTTCACACGACGCCCACGCTCGCGACAAGCGCAATCGAGCCGCTTTTTCACCCACAAGCCCAATCGCGTTTAACTCGGGTCACATGGTGGGGTTTCCCACAGCTCGGTACGAACTGGTGCAACATCGCGCCTCGACCGGGACCTGTATGTCAGATACAAAGAGGCGCGCTGCTGTCAAAATATATCAGACCATTCAACAGCAAGCAATTAGGGTCACTTGACAGCAATCCCACGCCGTAACTCCAGATTAGCTAGCTTTCCACGCCGATAGAGCAAGATGAACGCCCTCCGCTTCTCTCTTCTCGCACTCCTCGCGGCGGCCCTCGTGCTGCACCTGCTGCCCGCGCGCACCGCCGCCTCCGATGTCGAGGCGGCGATCGCCAACGATGAGTTCACCTTCGACGATGCCGCCGACGAAGTCGCAGACTTCCTCGGCGACGATCTCAGCCAAGTCGTAGAGCGTCGCATCCTGGCCGGAACTAGCGGCGCAGCAACCGGAAGCAGTGGCGGCGCGTACAAGCCGAAGCACAAGAAGCGCCGTAACGCGGCCGGCGACGGCTCTGGTTACTGCCCGTATGCCGGCAAGTCGGGCAACTCGCCGCCGGCGGAGTACTGCGGCGGCGCGTGCTGCATTGTAAGTGGCTGTGAAAAGGACAACTATCTCAACCGACACTCTCGTGCTTTAATTCGTTTTCCCCCTCCGACCGTCATTGCCTGTCCCCTGCTCCATTCAATCACCTGGATGTCTCAGTGTTTCGTTATCACTCCCTTTCCGTTCCTCTCGTGCCACCGTGGCGACACGTGATGCAACGCTTAACCTCCCTCCCTGCTTGCGCCCTTCCCCCAACGCCCGTGGGAACGCGTGCACGGCGCAGAGCCCCGAGTACCCGTGCTGCGGCGGCGACAAGTGCTGCAAGAAGGGCGGCTGCTGCCAGAAGAACGGCGCGTTCGTCTGCTGCAAGAGCTACTAATTGCGCCGCTGCTGCCGTGCTAGGCGCTAAGCTCTCAGGATGCACTCCTCTCTCCCAGAGTGACTTGGGGCCTGTGCTGCCCAACCATAAGCTCGTAGTGCGAAGAGATTATGGCGCGCTTGTAGGTACTCGCTTGCCGCGCTGCTGCGTTGCTTCTACTCTTAGGTGCGATATTTGCCAGTAGGGTGTGTACCGTAGATGTGCAATTAGTGTTGGCTAAGTTGGTGTCCAATGACTTCCTCTTGCAACCTCTGTTCCCAGAGGGGTTTTCCTGGTGTCGTTTACTTGGATCCCCAAAGACTGCAACTAGTACTAGTATTTCAATCGCTGGATAGTCATCCTACATTAGGTGGGCAAGTATGTCTGCCGTCCTGGGTGATCCGCTCACTCGGCATCCACAGGGCTTGTAGGCAAAAAACGATGTCCCCTTCCAGTTGGTGCATTGCGATCTAAGCTTTCTGTGGGTCTCCAGAAAACACAAAGTCAGCCATATAAAGAATGGCTTCACCAAACATAGAAGCTCTGAATAACCTAGGACTGGCCTCCAAATTCCTGCTGCCAGAACTTGCTTGCTTCCTCCGGCGAGCGCATCTGCCAGATGTGGGGCGGCGCACGGCCCTGCTGCTTGCGCCTCTCCTCCCGGCGAGCCTGGCATGCAGGTGAGGCCCGTGGAGCATGGGATGATTGGCGTGTGGGGAGAAGAGGACAAGAAGGGAAGCAGAGGAGGACGGAGATTGCTGAAGGGGAAGGCGATGGATGGCGGTTTGGAGGGCAAGCAGGCACCTTGGGAAATGGAGCTGGGAGCGGTCAGTGGTGCCATGGGTATAGGGAGCATGCAGCATTATATTTGAGGAAGACCAGCGACGCATGGAGGTCAAGAAGGGAGTAGCAAGGAAGGCTTAGTGGACACATGGAGAACGAGTAGACAAGCATTCACTCTGCATGCTGAAGTAGGGTGCTCATGCCAGCGAAGGGACACAGCAGCACAGAAGGAGGGCAGTGAGAAGTATCAAGAACACCCATCGAGAGCAGCGTCCAACTAACAGGTGGCAGTCATGGGCGCATGGGCGCATGGGAGCATGGGCGCATGGGCGCATGGGAGCATGGGGGAGGATGGGAGCATGGGAGCATGGGAGCATGGGAGCACGGGAGAATGGGAGGATGGGCGCATGGGAGCATGGGAGTGGCGAGCCCAGGAGGGTGGCGGCAGTGCAGAGGGGCGAGGCGGTGGGGCGGCACTGACCAGCACGGAGGGCGGCACTGACCAGCACGGAGGGCGGCACTGACCAGCACGGAGGGCGGCACTGACCAGCACGGAGGGCGGCACTGACCAGCACGGAGGGCGGCACTGACCAGCACGGAGGGCGGCACTGACCAGCACGGAGGGCGGCACTGACCAGCACGGAGGGCGGCACTGACCAGCACGGAGGGCGGCACTGACCAGCACGGAGGGCGGCACTGACCAGCACGGAGGGCGGCACTGACCAGCACGGAGGGCGGCACTGACCAGCACGGAGGGCGGCACTGACCAGCACGGAGGGCGGCACTGACCAGCACGGAGGGCGGCACTGACCAGCACGGAGGGCGGCACTGACCAGCACGGAGGGCGGCACTGACCAGCACGGAGGGCGGCACTGACCAGCACGGAGGGCGGCACTGACCAGCACGGAGGGCGGCACTGACCAGCACGGAGGGCGGCACTGACCAGTACGGAGGGGGCAGCGTTGGTGCGCAGCAGCATGCAGTCCCACAGGTCGCCCCACTTGCCCACGCACGAGTCAAACGTGCCCTCGCGGTAGTACTGCGTTGTCTGGTACACCGGTGCTGCTCGTGCCACGGCCGTGTTGACAACAAGAGGGGAGGAATGGGTGAGAGAGCGGGTAAGGATCACAAGCAGGGGGGGCGGAGTGCCCAGCAATCACGGCATGGGTGCAGTGGTGTGGAGCCTTGGACTGAGACAAGCGCAACGTACAGCAGAGCAACTCGAGAGCGGGCAGCACATGCTTGCACTCATGTGACACATGCACGCACAACATGCTTTTCACACCCATGAAGCAGCACGGCGCTCACAGTAGCAGCGGTTCTCACAGTAGCAGCGGTTCTCACAGTAGCAGCGGTTCTCACAGTAGCAGCGGTTCTCACAGTAGCAGCGGTTCTCACAGTAGCAGCGGTTCTCACAGTAGCAGCGGTTCTCACAGTAGCAGCGGTTCTCACAGTAGCAGCGGTTCTCACAGTAGCAGCGGTTCTCACAGTAGCAGCGGTTCTCACAGTAGCAGCGGTTCTCACAGTAGCAGCGGTTCTCACAGTAGCAGCGGTTCTCACAGTAGCAGCGGTTCTCACAGTAGCAGCGGTTCTCACAGTAGCAGCGGTTCTCACAGTAGCAGCGGTTCTCACAGTAGCAGCGGTTCTCACAGTAGCAGCGGTTCTCACAGTGGCAGCGGTTCTCACAGTAGCAGCAGGGCCGTCACTCACAGTAGCAGAACCAGATGGCGTCCATGTGTTTGATGCACGACTCTCTGGGCGCCGCTGCCCCCGACGCGTCCGCGCGCACCGCTGCAGCGTCCCACGCGGCGCCTGCAGATGTCGCCTGCCCCGCGGATGCATCCCCGCCTTGCAGCCCCGCCGCTTCCGCGCCGTCCGGACCAACGCTGCCCGCAGCGGAGAGGCTCGCGCCCCCCATGGCTGGCCTGCGCGCACTGGCGCGCACGAGAGGCGTGCGGCACGCTGCGGCGCGCGTGCAGCTGCGCGTTCGGCACTCCGGACTTCTGGTGGGTAGGGCGGGTGGCGACGGCGATGTGCGGGTGGCGCAGAAATGAGAATGCTTATCTTGTGTGCGGAAACTGCCGTGTAATCTGAAAACGGGCGTTACATATTTGTAGGAATTTAAAAGAATCGTTACACACATTTCAGGGGAACGCGGGGTGGCGCGATGAGGCGTGGCGCGATGAGGGGCGGCGCGATGAGGGGCGGCGCGATGAGGGGCGGCGCGACGGCGGGTGGCGCGACGGTCGGAGAGGAAGATCCGAGGTGCCGCGTAGGGCTGACTAAGAGTGTGTGTACGCTTGCACTCAAGAGCTAAGCTTTCCAATAATCCAGCGTGACGCCCAGGCCGAAAGCACCAGGCGCAGAGTGGCAGCGCCGCTAGCGGCCCTAGCGAAGTCCCTTTGTGCTGCTGTGGATCTACCGTGCGACGATATCGTCAAAAAATTCCTGGCCCCCAAAACATGCCCACAATCATAGCATTCTTTCGGGTATGCTACAGGTTATGCTCGTTTGGCGCACCCTACTTTGCCTTGTGCTCTGGGCTTATAAGTGGTTTAGTCTATTCGCCTTGTTCGCCGGTTTTCGCCGCAGCCATAAGGTGCTTAAAAAAAAAACAGGAGGCTACAAGTTTGTTTTTTCCCAAACAGTAACGGGCGGCCAGTTTTGTTGGTGGTAAGTTGCGCGGTTACCACTCTTTTCTCATGTCCACTATAGCAAACGAGTACACAACTTCACCCAGTTTGTGACAAACACCAACACCAACCCACAAACCAATGAAATCCACCCACTTGTACTCGTGCTATTTCCCCGACAACAATTTCAGAACGGTGAAATGTGCACAAGACGTGCACATTTCACCAGGGAGGAGATTCAAACTCCTCGTGAGGGGAATCCAACCCCTTCACAGGCGCATCCACTCGGCTGCTGCCATGTAACCTCCCATGACGGCCGGCGCACCACCGTCAATCAGCTCCTGGCGTCGCGCGGCCTGCTGGGCAAGAGTCACCCACGATGGGGTGGGCTCCGTCATCCACGCGGGCAGGACGCGGCCACGGCGACGAGGTGTCTCGGCCGGGGGCGTCGCGCACTCAGCCGCGGATGGCGGGGGGCTCATGTTGAGGTTAATCGGCGGGCTGGCGCGCTCCATCCGCGCCCTGATGATGGGGTTGCGGATGTCAAAGAGCGCGCACAGGTCGCGCGGGGTGATGCATGTCGCCTTCGCGTAGCCAATAAGCATCTCGGAGGCCGCTCGAGCGTAGCGCCGTGCCTCGTGGGACTCGGGGTTGCTGTCGTCATAGACAGCTTGCATGGTGGCGGGGGCCTCCCACGTCTCAGCGGAGGTGCCGCGCGGTGGCTCGGTCGTGAGCGGATCCTCTCCCGGCTCCGCGCATGTCGGCTGGTTGTCGTCGATGGCAACAAGTTCCGCGGCCGGCATGGCGCTCGTGCCGAGTCCGAGGCGATCGATGAGGATGCCTACGTCCCCGATCTCCTCGTCAAGCCCGATGTCCGCGGCCGTGCCCGCTCCAGCGGTGTCGTCGCCCACGTGAGCAAGCTCCATTGCCCACGCACGCGGGAGGATGCCGGTGCGCCAACAGCACCTTTGAATAGTGCGGTGCTCGATATTCATCCACGCGTCGTTGAGCCAGGCCACGACGTCCGGAGATTGGGCTTGAAGCGCGCCAGGCGGGTAGTTGCGCCATCGGCATTCCAGCGAGCGGTGAAGGCACGGAGCCAATGCTGCCGGTAGCGCGCCTTCGCCATCGCGATGAGCCCCTGATCGAGGGGCTGGGTGAAGCAGGTGGTGTTGGGAGGGAGATACACCAGGCGGACGTTCGAGAGCGAGCGCGTGCGAAAGCCAAAGAGATCCTCGGATGTTGCACCGCGGGAGGTGAGGACGTGGCTGCTCGCGTTGTCGAGCAGAATGACGATGTGCCGATCCTCGGCATACATGGTGGCGTTCAGCTGCTCAATGAAGAGCGTGAAAAGCTGCCATGGGAGTCGGGTGTGACAGTGGTGTAAGGAGTTAGTACTCATTTTCTTGAAACCGAGGCTTGTGTTTGAACACGGGAAAGAATCAACAAATTAATACTCACCGGTGAGGTCATCCACCCCTTGGCGGTGTTGCGCCAGTAGCAAAATTCCTCCGGGTCGAAGTCGGGGCGGAAGTCGTGGGGACGCCTAGCCTTGGAGATCACCAACGGGCGGAAGGACTGAGTGCCGTCGGCGTTGACGAGGAAGCCGACGGTGAGGCGGTCTTTGACCTCCTTCCTCCCCGCCACACGGCTGGCGCCGTACGTCTTGCGAGGCAGCACCGAAATGTAGACGGCGGTTTCGTCGAAATTGTAGGTGTCGCGCGGCCTGACAGAGAGATGCATGAGGAGCTGCGGCAGCTTCTCCTGAGTCGTACGGACGGCGGCGAGGTCCTGGTCGGCCGCCTCGCCACAAGCCGCAATGCACCTTACACCCTGGCGGCGCAAGGCACGACGGACCCATCCAATAGAGCAGCGGAAGGTAGGAGGCAGCGACATGCCGCGAGCCATGTTGGCGACATGCTCGCGGATCGTCGCCAAGGTCAGCGGCACACCAGCCGGGCGTGCATTGGCGATCCAGCGCGCCATTGCACGCTCGAGTTCAGGATGGGCTCCGCCGCGCACTCGGACAAGGTTGTTGTCCGATGCAGGGCGTGCCCAACGCTCGGACGCCTTCAGCACGCGGCCAATCGTGCTGCGATCAGGCCTGATGCCGAAGCGGGTGAAGCACCAGCGGCTGAGGTCGATGTGGCGCAGCTACGGATTGGCGACATGGTGGGCGCATATCGCCCGCTTGATGTGCACAGCTAACTGGCTGCGGTGGTAGAGGCGAGGCATGCTGGAATAGCATGCGGGAATGAATGAATATTGTGGGAGAAAGCTATGGTTTTTGAAGTGTTGCGGTGTGCTGGAGCGTGGGTACGACGGTGCGTTTGCAACGGGAATTTGGTTGACCCATTGTTAGGAAGTTTGCATGTAGGGGGCCTTGATTTGTGGCAAAAGGGGGGGGTGTTACCACAACCACTATTTGTGACGTGTGCGTTTTGAACAACGCTTGGTCGTCATTGGGTTTATACCGAGCAGGTGCATGGTACACGTCACATCGATGCACCTCTCCTAAGATGTGTTATACGCACCATGAACCTCCCCACGTGGCACCCAGTCATGCGCGAAGTGAATTGCGACGTTGGCGGAGTTTGAGCCTGTCATTTCGCGATGTTTGTCTCTGGCCAAGGAACACAGCAGACTCTGGTTGACTGGGTCTGTTTTATGCTACTGTTCAGGTGTTTTGGAGTTTACGAAACTTGCGGCAAGTTGGTTGGGGGGCTTATACCTGGGGTGCAACCTCTAGGGCACGTCGTCAACGCGGGCAGGGCATCTAATAGGTGCAGGGCAATTTCGCGTGCAGGAGGTGAGCATTACATGTACGTGAGCTATGTTCGAACTGCTTCCAATCATGCAGGGAACTATGCTTCGAAGGTGAGAATTTTGCTCAAATCCGCGGAATCGCGGTTCGCTTTATTATCGCCACGTGGCAGCATTACGATCGCGAGAAGCGCGATCTGTTTTATTTTCCCCACACTTGAAATGTGAAATCTCGTTAAGTTCAATGGGTTCCATGTACTGGGCTGAGTTCGAAACCTTTTCGAGGGGAACCAAAGCTACAGTGTGAACGGTTTTTGTCTCGTGCAACTTACCGGATGTGATCCGAAACGACTGTTCAGATTCGCCAACTCACATCTACAGCTGACGCGCGTCACGCACAGTACTATTTCCCCCAATCTCGCTTGCAAATGGTGACGCACGCAGTGCACTCTAGTCAGCAAGCTGACCGCGGGCAAGAAAAGAAACTAAAACCCACTCGGAAGGCATGCCATCCGAGGGAGCCTCAACCCTAAAATTTTAGGGTTGAGGCTCCCGAATGGCATGCCGTAAGCCATGGGTTTTATTTGTTTTGCCCGCGGGAGTGATTCGATGCTGTCGACAAAACGGTAATACTATTCAATTGCACCACGTGCTCGCGTGCCATCCAACCTGTATGTATGAATGTTGTAGATTTGTCCTTCTAGAACTCTGAATTTTTTCAGTGGTCATCCCAAAACAGAGCAAAAGTATCAAAACACTTCAAGTGTGAGAAAAATAAAACAGATCGCGCTTCACGCGATCGTAGTGCTGCCACGTGGCGATAGTAAAGCAAACCGCGATTCCGCGGATTTGAGCAAAACTCTCTTCGAAGGTTGGGTTTCGGGGGGGACACCTGCAGCAGACAAGTAACAGCGTGTAGGGGTTTAAAGTCAGACCCGCTTCAGTCTAAAGTTTTTTCGCTATGCAATTGTTGATATTTTTTTCGTTCATTTGCTCCAGCAACTAGGCCCAGCTGTTCCGTACCCGTAGCCAAACCTGTGTGCCAAACCTAGGGTAAGTTCGGGAATGGTGTACAGTATCATCACACCGACAGAACTGGCATTCCTCCTGCCCAGCGTGTTGCGACGTCAAGTGTTACGGGTGCAATGGATCGAGGTAGCGAGGATTGCACTAGAGTGTCAAACGAGTACAAAGATGTGAGCGAAGGCATGAGCGAACATTTGTATGCGAACATGCAAACGGTAACGCGGTGCGTGCGAGCTAGCTAGTGCTACGCTGGCAGCGAGGCTCGGGCTAGTCCCGAAGCGTAGGCCGACACGGCCGGGCCAGCAGTGCGAGGTTTGGTAAAACAGTGCGCGCGAAGTGGCGAAGTCCCGTTAGCAGTAACGGGCGAACAAATGGCAGTGTTGTATGCGATGTAGCCGGACTCCGTAAGGAATGCCGAGAAAATTCCTTACACTACCCCCCCCTCAAGAAGCCCCCTCCGCTACGCGAGTGCGTGTATATCGCGGAATCCCCGGCTCCTCAGGTACACTTGCAGGGCAGGGTGGTTTTCGATGTTGGCCAGGGGCACCCAGCTATCCTCAGTTGGCGTGCGGTCCTTCCAGCGAACGAGGAATTCAATCCTCTTGATTCCCGTGGGGTGGCGAATCCGATGGCTCAGGATTTTTTCGGGCGCGATGATCGTCTCCGATGCAGGGCGAGTCATTGAATGCGGGCGGTGACGCGGCAGTTGGCTTGTGGTCGATATGTATGGGCGAAGCAAGCTGACGTGGAACGAAGGGCTGATGTACCAGTCGGTCGGTAACAGTAGATGCGCGGTTACTGGCGTGATCATGTGGCTGATTTGGAACGGTCCACAGTAGCGCGGTCGTAATTTCGGTACGTCGGGCAGTCGCAGATTTTGCGTGTCGAGCAGTACGTAATCTCCAGACTGATACGTGACGGGGCGGCGGTGGCGGTCAGCGTTGCGCTTAGCGATGACGTTGGCTTTTTTAATTGCTTCTGCGGCTCTGGTGCGGGCAGCTTGCAGTATTTCGGCAAATTGCTGGGCACGTGGCATGGGCTTGTCCGGACTCGGCGTCATGGGCACTGTTGGATTTTGCCCGTAGTTCAGGTAGAACGGGGACTGCTGCGTCGTCGCTGACGTGGCGTTGTTGTACGCGAACTCGATCAGCGGCAGCTGCTGCTCCCAAGTGGTGGGGTCGTCGCACGTGGCACGAATCAACTGCTCCATCGTCTGATTCGTCCGCTCCGTTTGACCGTCGGTCTCGGGGTGGTACGACGAGCTGAACTGTAGCCTGGTCCCGAACTGCTCCCACAAGTTCCTCCAGAAGTTGCTTGTAAACTTCGTGTCCCTGTCGCTGATGATTGCTGCTGGTATCTGTCGAACATTATATATGTTGTGCTTGTTAGGCTACAGTGGGTTAGCCTATATGGGGTACACAATTCTAGGGTTTGCTATTTGTACTGATTTCCCTGTTAGTTCAATCATTCCTGTCCGTTCATTCTGACATGGTTTCAGAGCAGGTCCTTCGCTAGGACCGTTTTTTTTTTAGGGCCCACCGCTACCTACCTACCTACCTACCTACCTACCTACCTAGGGCGCCTCTTTTTTTTAACGGCCCCCTAAGGCCCCTTAGCGACTCGCGTGTCGCCCCTTACGGCCCCGTCGGCCCCGCGCTCGCCCCTTACGGCCCCGCCGCGATCGCCCCTACCGGCCCCGTCGGCCCCACGCTCACCGCCCTGCGCACCGCGCTGAGCCCGCGCAGCCCGCACGCCGCCCGCTGCCGTCCCGCTCACCGCCCGCGCAGCCCGCGCTTAGCTCGCGCAGCCTGCGCGCGGCTCACTGCTGCCCCTTAGCCGCCCGTCGCGGCCCCTTAGCCGCCCGTCGCGGCCCCTTAGCCGCCCGTGGCTCCTTACCCGCCCGTCGCGGCCCCTTACCCGCCAGTCGCGGCCCCTTACCCGCCCGTCGCGGCCCCTTACCCGCGCGTCGCGGCCCCTTAGCCGCCCGTCGCGACCCCTCAGCCACCGTCGCGGTCCCTTACCCGCCCGTCGCGGCCCCTTACCCGCGCGTCGCGGCCCCTTAGCTGCCCGTCGCGACCCCTCAGCCGCCCCTTCGCGGCTTCGTCGCTGCCGAACCTTCAGCAGCTGCCGCCGCCTAGCCTGCAACAGCAGCCGCCGCTCGACCTGCAGTAGCTGTAGCCGCCGAGCCTGCAGCAGCAGCCGCCGCCAGACCTGCAGCAGCTGCCGCCGCCGAGCCTACCGCAGCTGCCGCCGCCGAGCCTGCAGCAGAGGCCGCCGCCGGACCTGCAGCAGCTGCAGCCGCCGAGCCTGCAGCAGCAGCCGCCGCTCGACCTGCAGCAGCTGCCGCCGCCGAGCCTCCAGCAGCAGCCGCCGCCGACTCTACAGCAGCTGCCGCCGCTGAGACTGCAGCATCTGCCGCCGTCGACCTTACAGCAGCTGCCGCCGCCGACCCTGCAGCAGCTGCCGCGGAGCTCCCTGCTGCGACCTGGCCCCGCCCCGCAGTTGCAGCGGCCCCGCTGTCACCACCGTCTTGCGCCCGCCGCGCCTACCACTGGTGAGCTTTGCCCTGCCAGCACTACTCCCGCTACTACTGCTGCTCCTGCCCTTACTACTCCCACTGCCACTGCTGTTGCTACCACTACTGCTGCTGCTCCTGACGTGGCCAGATGCAGCTCCAGCAGGCTCGTGAGTGGTACGCCAGTTTGGGCTGTCGGGGTCGCCGTAGTGGTAGTCGCTCTGGAGTGCGTCGCTCGGGAACCTCTGGTAGTGGACAGGTGCAGCAGCCGTGCCCTCTTATGCTCCAGCAGGCTCGTGAGTGGTACGCCGGTTTGGGCAGTCGGGGTGGCCGTAGTGGTAGTCGCTCTGGAGTGCGTCGTTCGGGAGCCTCTGGTAGTGGACAGGTGCAGCAGCCGTGCCCTCTTATGCTCCAGCAGGCTCGTGAGTGGTACGCCGGTTTGGGACGTCGGGGTGGCCGTAGTGGTAGTCGCTCTGGAGTGCGTCGTTCGGGAGCCTCTGGTCGTGGCCAGGTGCAGCAGCCGTGCCCTCTTATGCTACAGCAGGCTCGTGAGTGGTACGCCAGTTTGGGCTGTCGGAGTGGCCGTAGTGGTAGTCCCTCTGGAGTGCGTCGTTCGGGAGCTACTGGTAGTGGAGAGGTGCAGCTGCCGAGTCCTGTGAGTGAGGCTGCCGCTCTAGGTGCT